TTAATAATAAGAAAAATCCATTGAATCGAATAAAGATTTTGCAAAATCTATTATATTTTCAGATGCAATAATAAACTGCAATCATTAAATATTATTATTATTCTTAATCCAAATCCAAAAAAAAACAAATGTTGGTAATTTATGGATTAAATCCAATACTGAACGATCAAAGTATACTTTATATCGTTATTTAGAATACTAGAAAACCTCAGAATCAATTATTTTTAAAGAAAGTTTAGTAGAATTGTTTTCGAACAAAATACTGTCAAGTCCAATAAAAAAAATGAAAGATTCAACTAATATTTCAACTGTTGCTAAGCAATACAATAATTGTTTAATTAACTTCTTAATCAATTGTTTTCGAACAAAATACAGACAAGTACATTAAAAAAAAAATGAAAGATTTAACTAATATTGTAACTGTTGCTAAGTAAAATTGATTTGTTTTTAATTGTTTTGGAACAAAATAAGATCAAATCCACAAAAAAAAGTTGAAAGATTCAACTAATATTTCAACTGTTGCTAAGCAGTACAATATTTGTTTAATTAACTTCTTAATAAATTGTTTTCCAAATTATTCATTAACAATTAGTGAAGATTAAATGTACAAACTATTGTAGATATATAAAAGAAAACAAATTTTGGTAATTTATTGATTAAATTCAACAATAAATGAAGAAAGTATAGTTTATATCTTTATTTAGATACTATAAAACCACAGAATCAATTATTTTTAGTGAAAGTTTAGTAGAATTGTTTTCGAACAAAATACTGTCAAGTCCAATAAAAAAAATTAAATATTCAACTAATATTGTAACTGTTGCTAAGTAAAATTGATTTGTTTTTCATTATTTTGGAACAAAATAACATCAAATCTATAGAAAAAAAAGTTGAAAGATTCAACTAATATTTCAACTGTTGCTAAGCAATATAATATTTCTTTAATTAACTTCTTAATCAATTGTTTTCCAAATTATTCATTAGCAATTAATGAAAATTAAATATGCAAACTATTGTTGATATACAAAAGAAAACAAATGTTGGTAATTTATTGATTAAATCCAACACTAAATGAAAAAAGTATACTTTATATCGTTATTTACACAGAATCAATTATTTTTACTGAAAGTTTAAGTAGAATTGATCGATGTTGTCTCACCTACATGGAAATTTGCATTGTTAAAAGAAATGAATCAATATAAAATGCAAAAAAAGTAAAAAAGCAACGTACGTATTCATATTTTAATGTGGCTCCTCGCATTATGCGCATGGTTATATAAAAAAAAAGAATAATGCATATGACGTAAACGATAATATCTTGAGGGGAGCAAGGATAAAAGAGTGTGTGTGTGGAAATATGCCATCATCATCATCACGATGATGATCTTCATCGTCATAATCATCATCGCAGCATCCATGCATGCAAACACACATCAAAGATTGCGCTGCTTTTGCCGACGAGTGTACGCACAGAAAATTTAAATACGAATAGAGATAGAGAGAGAAATATATGTATAAGTCGTCTGAAAAACAGCAACCCTCCTACTTCCAAACGTCCAGCTCGCTACTCGCTTTCATTAGGAAAGTTCAAGCCAGTTCATAATTGTTCCGCACTATTATTATGCACGGACGAAATGATAAATATATATGAATTGGAATGGGAATATAGGGAGAAAGAGATGGAAAAAAGATGACGAAAAGGAAAAGAAATTAAATAACGTTGAACGGAAAGAGATGGGAATAGCGCATTCGCCCAATCAGACCTTAACATACTCAGCAACCAATCAGATCGCAAGAAACATCAAGGTGTTTTCACAAAACACACATGTCTCTCTGTGTGTGTGTGGACTTCTCTTTTTCTTTGTTTGTTATGCATACGCGCCATATGTGTACACGTTTTTTCCCTACTGCAATTTTTTCCTCGGCCCCCTTCGAACTTTTATTTTTCCCTGTTTGTTTGTTTTTTTTTCCTCTTCTTTTTACTTGTGGGTAGGTATGTAGGTAGTACACTTCGTGTTGCGGTCGCAACTCGATTCTCGACCCTATTTCGAGGGGTCTTAGAGGGCGCAAGGTGCGAATTAACAGTTGAATACATCAAAGGGGAGATTTGTAATCAGAGGTAGACATATTTGTGGATAAATATGGCGCGCCCGACCATTCATTAAGCACGATTTTCTATAATTATTATAATTCGTTTTTTACCCTCTCTCTTTCTTCCCTTGTCACTGTTAACATTTCGAACATTCAAATCCCCTTCGCGACCATTGTTCGCATCTATACAGCTTGTATATCTCACTTCCACCATTACGCAATCAATTGAAAACACGTGCATTGACAATATGCAACATTGTATCCGTCCATTCGGATGCGCTTCATCAATTATTTAATCCTAATCTATATTTAATCATTTCAACGAATATGTCAACTGTTGCTAAGAAATACAATTAACTTCTTCGTCAATTGTTTTCGAACAAAATAAGATCAAATCCATAGAAAAAAAAGTTGTAAGATTCCACTAATATTTCAACTGTTGCTAAGCAATATAATATTTGTTTAATTAACTTCTCAATCAATTGTTTTCGAAAAAAATAAGATCAAATCTACAAACAAAAAAAAAGAAATATTCAACTAATATTTTAACTTTTGCAATATTGATTTTTTTTAATTAACTTCTTAATCAATTGTTTTCGAACAAAATAGTGTCAAATTTAATAAAAAAACAGATATAATATTGATTTGTTTTCAATTGTTTTTGAACAAAATAAGATCAAATCCATAGAAAAAAAGTTGTATGATTCAACTAATATTTCAACTGTTGCTAAGCAATATAATATTTGTTTATTTAACTTGTTAATCAATTGTTTTCCAACAAAATACTGACAAGTCCAATAAAAAAAAATGAAAGATTTAACTAATATTTCAATCGTTGCTAAGTAAAATTGATTTGTTTTTAATTGTTTTTGAACAAAATTAGATCAAATACATAGAAAAAAAGTTGTAAGATTCCACTAATATTTTAACTGTTGCTAAGCAATACAATATTTGTTTATTAACATCTTAATCAATTGTTTTTGAACAAAATAATGTCAAATCTATAAAAAAAAAAAATTAATAATATTGATTTGTTTTCAATTGTTTTCGAACAAAATAAGATCAAATCTACAAAAAAAAAAGAAGAAATATTCACCTAATATTTTAACTGTTGCTAAGCAATATTAATTATTTTTTTAATTAACTTCTTCATCGATTGTTTTCGAACAAAATAAGATCAAATCCATAGAAAAAAGTTGAAAGATTCAAGTAATATTTCAACTGTTGCTAAGCAATACAAAATTTGTTTAATTATCTTCTTAATCAATTGTTTTCAAACAAAATAAGATCAAATCCATAGAAAAAAAGTTGTAAGATTCAACTAATATTTCAACTGTTGCTAAGCAATATAATATTTGTTTAATTAACTTGTTAATCAATTGTTTTCGAACAAAATACTGACAAATCCAATAAAAAAAAATGAAAGATTTAACTAATATTTCAATTGTTGCTAAGTAAAATTGATTTGTTTTTAATTGTTTTTGAACAAAATAAGATCAAATCTATAGAAAAAAAAAGTTGTAAGATTCAACTAATATTTCAACTGTTGCTAAGCAATACAATATTCGTTTAATTAACTTCTTAATCAATTGTTTTCATGTTTTCAAATCTAATTAAAAAAAAAGAGAAATAATATTGATTTGTTTTCAATTGTTTTCGAACAAAATAACATCAAATCTACAAACAAAAAAAAGAATATTCAACTAATATTTCAACTGTTGCTAAGCAATATTGTTTATTTTTTAATAAACTTCTTCATTGATTGTTTTCCAACAAAATAGTGTCAAATCTTCTTCATCTGTGGTTTTCCATCTAAATAAGTTGAAATGTAATAATAATTTGAAACATTTAACTAATATTTTAACTATTGCTAAGTTATATTGATGTTATAAAATTATATTCTTCGTCGATTGTTTTAGAACAAAATAAGATCAAATTCATTTAAAAAAAAAGTTGAAAGATTAAACTAATATTTTAACTGTTGCTAAGCAATACAATATTCGTTTAATTAACTTCTTAATCAATTGTTTTCATGTCAAATCTAATTAAAAAAAAAAGAGAAATAATATTGACTTGTTTTCAATTCTTTTCGAACAAAATAAGATCAAATCTACAAACAAAAAAAGAAGAAACATTCAACTAATATTTTAACTGTTGCTAAGCAATATTGATTTTTTTTGTTAATTAACTTCTTCATCCATTGTTTATCAACAAAACAAGGTCAAATCTTCTTCATCCATGGATGAAATGTAATAGTAATTTGAAAGATTCTAGTAATATTTTAAGTGTTGCTAAGTTATATTGATGTTATAAAATTAAGTTTTTCGTCGATTGTTTTCGAACAAAATAAGATCAAATCTTTTTAACTTCAACTGTTGCTAAGCAATATTTAATTTTTGTAAATAAGTTCTTCATCCATAGTTATAGAATCAAATAAGATTCCAGAAATAACGTAAATTTGAAAAAAAAAATTCAAAAATAAATAGGAAATTTATTAAAAATTAAAAAAAAAAACAGTAAATTTGAAATATTCAAAAAATACAATGTAATTTCAACAATTAAAAAAAACAAATATTTCAAAAAAAAAATTGAAAAAAATTAAAAAATCCGTTAAATAAGAGTATATGAAAATAACAATTTATGAAACTAATTCGGCATTTGATGTTTCAATGTATTCATTCAACTTTGAGAGCGCTAATTATGATATTGAATTACAAAACAAATCAAAGTTACAAAATCTACGTACATGAAACTTACATCACTATTACTAAATAAACAGTAGATAAAATTATGTGATTAATGATCGTTATTATCATATGGAACGAAGGATGTGTTTTTCATTGAATATTCTTATTGACCTCGAGATTCAATTGAATAATAACCACGTTAGTGCGTCCAATTGGACTCAATGAGTAGAGTGAGAATCAGTCGAACGCCAGAATCTCATCGAACATGTGGATATTTTTGTCTTCAGCTGCAGGTCTTCTCTGCATTCTGTACGTGTTATTGAAATGGAGATACAATTATTGGAGGGAACGAGGAGTCCCGTGTCCACAACCAAGTTTATTTGTCGGTAATATAGGTGCGTCTTTGACATCCAAATTGAACATCGGAGAAATCTACAATAACATCTACAAGTTAGTACAATTATAATTTACAAAAAGTATACACTCAGTAAACATTTGTTTTTTTCAGAAAATATGAAGATTGTAAATACGTGGGATTGTTTCAGTTCATTAATCCCGCTTTGTTAATTAGAGATCCCGAAATCATCAAAGATATTATGATCAAAGATTTCAATCATTTCGGGAAAAACGATTTCGAGGTGGATGCAGATCACGATCCGATCTTGGGAAGAAATCCGTTCGTTTTGTCAGGCGAGAAATGGAAAGCTTTCAGAAACATGTGGACGCCTAACTTTACCAGCGGAAAGGTTCGTGTTGTGTAGAAAAGTTTCGGATTAGTTGATAATAGTTTATTTGGTGAAAACCAGTTGAAGCAGATCTTCCAATTCGTGAAAATCCAAAGCGTAAAGATGAACGATTACATAGAAAATCATCAAAAATGCGTCGATTTGAAAGATTTGATGAAGAGGTTCACGATTGGTAACGTGGCCAGTTGCGCTTTCGGTCTCGAAGCTAACAGTTTCGAGGAGGAGGAATCAGAATTCGTGAAAATCTCCCGACAGATCGGGGATATTTCAGGTTTCAGTACGATCAAAGTTATGTTAAGAAACATCTTTCCCTTTCTCGTCAACGTTTTAAGTGTCAGGTTATCAACTCTGTTAGAATTTTTGAATTGAAATTTCAATTGATGATTTTTCAGGTTCTTCTCGAAGTACGTCGAAGAGTATCTGATTAGAATCGTGAAGGAGACTTTGAATTACAGGAAAGAGAACAAAGTTGTTAGGAACGATTTTTTGGATACTATGGCCGAGCAAAAGGTCAAATGCACTTACTATAAATTCGAAGACATCGATATTGTTTCTCAATCCGCGGGATTCTTCGCAGACGGCGTCGAATCCAGCTCTGTTGTCATGAGTTACGCTTTGTACGAAATTGCCAGAAATCCTGAGGTGCAGAGTAAATTGAAGCAGGAGATCCGCGATCATGGGGAAATAAGCTACGAATCCGTTAATGAGATGAAATATATGGATTGCGTTTTAAACGGTAATTGAAATATCATTGTAAACAAATTCGTGGTTAATTTGTAATTTCAGAAAGCATGAGGATGCATTGGGTATCATTTTTCCTTACCAAAAAATGCACCGAAGATTACCGTTTACCACCAACTAAAGACGGTGCTCCAAGCATTATGATTCAAAAAGATACGAGCATAATCCTGCCGATGGACGCATTACACAAGGACGCAAAGTACTTTCCGAATCCTGAAATTTTCGATCCTGAACGATTCACGAACGAGAACAAAGCTAACATCACTAAATGCTCTTTCATGCCGTTCGGAGAAGGACCCAGGATTTGCTTAGGTGAATAATTTTTACATTTTTGTTTAAATAAAACAAAAGCCTTAACTTCTTTCATTTACAGGCATGAAATTCGGTTTGATGCAAATCAAAGTCGGCATCGCTGCAATTCTATCCAAATACACTATTTCGATCAACGAAAAAACGTCGAATCCGCTTCAGTTCGAAAAAAATGCCATCATAAGGACACCGATCGGTGGAATTTGGATGGATTTTCAGAAAGATTAAATAATTTGAATAAAACTTGCATGAAGGTTATTCGATTTTTTTTTTAACTAGAAAATTGTATTAAGTAAAATTGAAGAAAAAAATATAGAAAATATTGAATTAAACTTATTTAAAACTAAAAAAAAAATTGATTTTTATTTTCATTAGTATTCCAAAATTTGAGAAATTCCATAGAAGTTTAATAGAAATATCTTATAGAAGGTTTATAGAAATCGCTTCAAAATCTCATAAAAGATTTTTTAGGAATCACATAGAAATCTTATAGAAGTTTCATTGTACTCGCTTAACGAGTTTAATCCGTTCCAAAATTTCCGGATTTTTACTCGTGTAGTGAAATATTAGTATAGTGAAACATGATGTTCAATATTATTCAAAAATACACATAATATGTGTACACAAGTTTTAAAAATGATGTTAAGCGACTCATTTTTCTTACAATTTGCTCAATATGCAAAATACTCGTTAAAAGATGTTCCACTGTAGTTCCGCCATTGATTTTTATTATAGTATAGAAAAAAAAATTAGTGAGCTTTGGTTTGGAAACGATTGAAATATTTTCAAGCGAAGGGTGGGAGGATGAGGATAAAGAGGTGGGTATTTCCTCGTTCCATATCCATTTATTGATCATATTGGATGAGGCGTGGAAGAAGATTGGATAAGTGTTGTCCCATTCTCTCTTTCAAACTGTGCTCGCTGTCGGGGAAAAGCGTTTTTCCAGAGGACGCTTTCCACGCTCTGACAGTTCAGCAGCAGCAGTAGGGAGGTGGGTGAGGGTGGTTGAGGGTTTTGATGGGAGGTTTAGTAAACAGGGATAACGAAGAATGTTCGTCCTTGTGGGACGTCTCCTTAGGGCCGAGAGTTCGTTCGTTCGTTCGTTCCGGATTGCATTCGGCTCTAGAAATGATGAGCTATTGTGAAAACTCTACAAGTCACTAGCAGGAGCAGCCTTTAATCCAATTTATTTTATCATTGTTGCGTTAGGGTCGGTTGGAGGAGACGAGGCTCGCCTTTCACGGTCGCATCCTGCGGTTCCAACTGCTTTTATAAAGAGAACTCCAATGGCGACAGTCACACACATTCACACACAAATTCACACAAAATAAATATAAAGAAAGAAAGAAAAGAAAGAAAGTTACTTCCCTCACAATCATGTAATTTATAATAGTTCGGACGGAAACTTATTAAATATTTTCATCCTCAAGAAGTTCCAAACAAAAAGACATTCATTTTTCTTTAATTTCAGCATACAAAACGAATTTAATCAACGAAATAATTAACATTCGTTCCACCTAAAATAATGAAAAAATTATAAAAATAAATACAATAATATCTCAGCTTCAAACAGTACGGATTCACTATAACATTATTGTTATTTTTTCTTTAATTTTTTGAAGGTGTAAATAAAATATTAATATTTGCAATTTGTCATAAAAGAAGCGTTACGATTTTGTTGTTAAATAATTTTTAAATAAAACTACATAAGTACATATTTCATTTAATAATAGTTGACTAAATATTACTAGTTTTATATTAAATATAATAATTATCAATTTGGCTTACTTAAATCCTCTATAAATGTAAGATTTGTCAACGAAATTTACATGGATTTTTCATTAAACATAATTCAAAAGCTACTAATTTCTATTTCTAAATATCATAAAAGATCACTGAAATATATATATTTTTCATGAATATTTAGTTCAAAATTTTCATTTTTGTTTGAATTTAGTATCGACTTTACTAAGTTTTCCTTTAAAATTAATATATTTTCAAAATACTATTAAATTTATCTAAATTAATGAAAAATTTATTATAATAAACAAAAACCTTTACATTTTATAAATTTCATACTTAAAGTAAGATTATTTAATGAAAATAAAATCGAAAAAGCATGTGAGAAACTGCAATAGGTTGAAAATTCTTTTCAATAAAATTTGTTGGATCCATTCACAATTCATCAATAAAAGGATATTGAATGGAACACGAAACCATCCTTGTAAAACATCCGCAAGGAAAATAAATAAAATAAACCGGAAGAATGGAACCCTTTTTACTTTATTTCGAGAATCTCTGACTTAAAGAAAACAAACGTACGTTTCTATAAGTATTGAATTTCGTAAAAAAAAATATCCAATTCAAAATAATATTCTATTTGAGTTTTACAATATCGACGCTTCTCTTTCTTAAAATGTCAAAATAACCAACAAATTTTGGCAGTTGACAGTTAAAGACTAATAAATTTGATCGCTGATGACACATATTTGACAGTTGTCAATTCTAGCTATCTATTAGTATAACATTATTATTTATAGATATAATATTAATAATAATACAGTATTGAATTTCCACCAATTATCATACTTACAACAATTTACTATAAGAAAATTCAATTCAAAATAATATTCTATTAATGTTTATAAGTTACCAACGCCTTTGTTCTCTTAAATGTCAACGTAACCAACAAGTCTTTGACAGTTCTACCTATACATTAGTGTAACAATTACAACATGGCAATAAAATAATTGAATATTATGTTTTATAAATTTTTGATTTTTTTTTTCTTGCAAATGCTCATTTCGTTCAAATTAAAGAATTCTTATATAAAATTTTTTATAATTTGAATTTACTAAAAAAAAAAACAACATAAAAAATGAATTCTATAAGAGGTTATAAAATAACAACGCTTTTGTTTACTCAAATGTCAACATAGCAGTCAAATTGTGACAGTTGATAATTAGCTGATGACAGACATTTGACAGTTGACAATGACAATTCTACCTGTCCATTAATAATATTCAATACGTTTTATATATTATAATTCTGAGTTTTTGAAAATACTTCTCTTACTGAAAAATATTTCAAAAATCTATTGGAATAATAGTGTTTTGATCTCGATAATATTAAAATTACATATTACTTAAATTTGTATAGTCGAGTTTTATGTTCTTCAAATTTTCGATATTTTTTCTTGTAAATGCTCATTTTGTTCGAAATATATAGCAAATAAACGTACGTTTCCATAAATATTGAATTTCTATCGATTTTCACACTTAAAATTTACTATAAGAAAATCCAATTGAAAATAATATAATATTAGTTAACGCTTTTGTTTTATTTAAATGTCAACGTAACCAACAAATTTTTGACAGTTGACAGATAACCATTAAATTTGATAGATGATGACACACACTCTACTTGTACATTAGTGTAACATTAACAACATGGCAATAAAATAATTGAATATTATGTTTTTCAAATTTTTGTTATTTTTGTTTCATACAAATGCTCATTTCGTTCGAATTAAAGAATTTTTATATAAGAATTTTTATAATTGGAATTTACTTTAAAAAAAGAGGTTATAAAATAACAACGCTTTTGTTTACTCAAATATCAACCAACAAATTGTGACAGTTGACAGTTAAATCAATAAATTTGATAGTCGATGACATAAATTTGACAGTTGTGAAGTTTGCTGTCATTTATATAGTGAACGTATTATTTTTCAGGTAAGTGTTATTCAACATAAAATGGTGGGAATCCGATGATGGCGGAACGTAATTTCGTTGAAGTAAAAGAAGTGGTTGTAGAAGTAGTAGTAGTAGTAGGAGGAGGAATAAATAAATAACTGCGTGTATTTTTTACCCTCTGTGTGTGTATAAATCGTGACGTGGAAATCAAATCTCGTTGCTTGACATCAATAAAAGATGTTATCGAAATGGGAAATGAATGTTGACGTTTAGGTTTGTGTGTATTTTGCATCACCCCTCTTTAACGTCGTCGTTCACGTCATCTGCATGTACCTTCTCTCATTAGAGTAATTGATGGAACCGGTGTTGTGACAGACTTGATTGATCAGATTGGATTTCATCCCTCCTTTATTCATCTCTCGTGGTACTTTTTATCCTCTCGCACTATTATTATTATTATTTCGTCTTTGGGATGCGTTTTGTTGTGATTGCCGTTCAAAGCCTTCTTCCTTCCGCCAACAACACAACAACAACAACAACAAAAAAAAAAGAGAAAAACGAAAACAAACACCGACATATCGAATGCTGCTGTCACTTGATCCCTTCGAAACACTCGAAAATCTAATAAGCCATTTAATATTTCAAGTATAAAACAAACGTTAATGATGATTTTTTTATATAAACTAATCCTAAATAAACACGTTTGTTTATTAACTAATAATACATAAACTCAAGTTTCTTAATTTTGCTACTTTTTAACTAGTTTTTCTAAATATTTTCACTAAAATTAAAAAAAAAAAAGATAATTTTCATTTTATATTATATAAATTATTACAAAAAAAAATGAAACAAATCAAGAAGAAAATTTACAAAAATAAACAAAATTAACAAATTTTTACAAAATTATCAATTTTTTTAGTTGTCTTTTAAATATTAATCTTTCTAATGATGATTCATTTATTATTAATACCTTGCATAGTGCGGTTTCGACGAGTGTTTCACTATAGTTCGCTTTGAAAACTTATAAAGCAAAATAAAAAGAAATTATAGTCAAATCTCTTTTTATGCGTTTCGATTAGTCCGGTTTCAAAGAGTGAGGAAATAATTTGACCAATATTTCAGAAAAAAAATCTTTGAGAACAAGAAAACATAAAATAATGATAATAAATATATGTTTTTACACTACTTCCTACATTTCATCAAACTTTTGAAGAAAGATATAACTTCTTAACAATATTACAAATAATGCTACTAGTTTTTTTCCACTAGTAATATTATACAAAATCATTTGTGTATATCAAAAGAGTCTTCAAATTGTGAAGACTCTTATGAATTCAAATTTAACAATAATTTATAAGAAAGATATAAGTTTCACAATTTATTTAGTTATTCATATAAATATTTTCATTCTTATATTCAATTATATTAATATTTCGTATTTACTAATAAACATCCTACATATTAATTTAATTTCTAAACCAATTTATATGAATTAGAAAACTGAATTCACAATCACTCAATTTTCTAGTTATCTGTGCATCATATTCTGTAAAAATTTTTTCCCAATCATCACACATTTTTCATAAAATTTGAATAATAAGTGTGTAATTTGTAGTATGGATCATCAACGATTTCAGTAATTCTAACACGTTTATATTTGAAACCGTACTAATCGAGGATTTCCTAAACACATATATATAAACAGCACAAAATTATATCTTAACGATTTTTTCCAATATTCATCTACAAGTTAATGATGAAATATTTCGTATAACTTTCTATTAAATCATTAATCATTGAATTTTTGATAAAATAAATTAAAAATATTGTTATTAACTAAAGTTTTCAAATCTATTCAAAATAAAATTGAAAATATTAAAAACTTCTCAAAAATAACATTTATTTTATTGGAAAAATTACTGTAAATCATTTTTGTATTTTTCTATAACATTGGTTATTACTAAACTACCTCAAAGAGTGCGGATAATCGCTTTCAAACAAAGATGAGAATTTTGTACAATTACTAAAAGCAATATAATGATAATTCCCAAAAAATAAAATTATACATTAATTTTTTATGTATAACTGATCGTATTTATCTACATTCAAGTCTCATTTAGTGATATTTTAAAGTCCTCGATTAGTACGGTTTCACAGATGAATGTTACTAATCTAATTTCTAATATCTTCGATTCTGTCTTCTAACTCTTCATCCTATAAATTATAGAATTATTATTCAAATTTATAATGATTGGGAAATTTGCGACTCATATTTTTGAGTCATCGCCTCTGGTTTCTCCGACTGCAAAGTGTATTTGCGCGTGAGATATTTAGTTATGTTCATTTCCTGCGATTAAACGTGTGATTGGATGATGGATGGAAATACTCGAATGCCTGAGGGTTGATGCAAGAATCAAGGGAAGGAAGGGTGGAGAAGTAGCTAAGAGCCTATTGGCGAATTCGATGACAAGACAGCATTTTAATCAATCATTTTCCGTCGCGCCGCATCTCGAATTCCTCCTCCTCCTTTCTCTCTCTCTCCACCCTTAATCCATTCTTTTTTGTTATCCATTTTCCGCAACCCCTTGACACAAAAATTAAGCCGATGAACTTAATTAAGCCGTAATTCATTGCCGCAAATTGGAACTCCATTATACATTTTTTTTCTTCATTCTTTCACAATCTCTCGTACATTTATTTCTATGTGTTTGTATCTCGATTTCTGATTGACGAGCACGAAATATCTGGGGATGGAATAAAATGGAATTTGTTACGGATTAGGGAAATGGCATTGCCGGGGAAACGGCGGAAAATCCAATTCCTCTCGCCTAAAGTGACTATTGAATTTTCGCGCACCTGACTTCTTCCACTTCTTCTCCTTCGAGGTGAGGAAATATTGATATGGAAATGCACATCGAGAATTCTCTCACCTTCTTTTATTTTTTCTCCACGTAAATGCATCCGCATAGCTTCCAACTAGCTCGTATAAATTTATTGTATTTACACGCACAGATGACTAGAAAATTGAATTCAATTTTTTTTATTTCGAATAGTGCGGATAATCGGTTCCACGCTGCTTTTGAAACCGGACTAATCAAGGATTTTAAACTTTAGATAGTGTCCTATTTCCCTATTATAAACGAATATTGGAAAAAAAAAATCGTTAAGATATCACATTTTTCTCGTGCTTTTTATATTTATGTGGTTGTAAAAGTTTCGAACAGTGTGGAAATGATTCTTTGTACTTATATAGTATATTACAGAAAATCTTTATTGGCTTTATTTCAATTTTTGTTGTAATTTTCTAGAAACTCTAAAACCCTATTATCCGCACTATTCGAGACAAAAATACCTTTAATAGTACCGAATATTACAAAAAAAATCTAACGTATTGTTGCTTTTTTCTGCTTTATTTCAAAATTATTACAGAATTTAACTTTGATTTCATTTATTACTTTTATTCATTAAATTTTCAGAATGATTTAGCAGAAAGTTATACAAAAATTATCTAATTAACTTGTAGATGAATATTGGAGAAATTTGTAAAGAAATCATATATTTTTAGTGCTGCTTTGAAGTTCTGCGGTTGAAAAATCCTCGATTAGTCCGGTTTAGAAGAATGTGGAAATGATTCTTCGTACTATTCGAGGTATTTTTGTAGTAATCAATATTACAGAAAATCTTTCTTTGCTTTATTTCAACTTTTGTTGTAATTTTCTAGAAACTCTAAAACCCTATTATCCGCACTATTCGAGACAAAAATACCTGTAATAGTAAGGAATATTGGAGAAAATCGTTAGGAAATCAAATATATTTCGTGCTGTTTATGCGGTTGTAAAATTCTCGATTAGTCCGGTTAAGAAGAATGTATAACTATTCAAAGTATTTTTGGTATTAATCAATATTACAGAAAATCTTTATTAGCTTTATTTCAATTTTTGTTGTAATTTTCTAGAAACTCTAAAAACCAATTATCCGCACTATTCGAGACAAAAATACCTGTGATAGTACCGAATATTACAAAAAAATCTAACTTATTGTTGTTTTTTTGCTTTTGATTTCATTTATTACTTTTATTCATTAAATTTTCAGTATGATTTAGCAGAAAATTATTCAAAAATTATCTAATTAACTTGTAGATGAATATTGGAGAAATTTGTAAAGAAATCATATATTTTTAGTGCTGCTTTGAAGTTCTGCGGTTGAAAAATCCTCGATTAGTCCGGTTTAGAAGAATGTGGAAATGATTCTTCGTACTATTCGAGGTATTTTTGTAGTAATCAATATTACAGAAAATCTTTCTTTGCTTTATTTCAACTTTTGTTCTAATTTTCTAGAAACTCTAAAACCCTATTATCCGCACTATTCGAGACAAAAATACCTGTAATAGTAACGAATATTACAAAAAAATTTAAAGTATTGTTCTTACTTTGCTTTATTTCAACATTATCACTGATTCGCAAAATTACAGTATTTTTTCAGTAAAATAAATTGTTTTAAATGTTCTTTTTCAATATTTTCAACTTGATTTTGAATAGATTTGAAAACTCTTGTTAATAATGCCAATATACTCAATCCCTTTTACCACAAACATCAACTTTGATTTCAATTATTAATTTTCTTGATTACAATTTTCTTGATTTAACAGAAAGTTATACGAACGATTTCCTCATTAACTTGTAGATGAATATTCAAGCAAATCGTTAAGAAATCAAATATGTTTATTGCTGCATTAAATTTCTGCGGTTGAAATATCCTCGATTAGTCCGGTTTCTTCGTACTATTCGAGGTATTTTTGTATATTACAGAAAATCTTTCTTGGCTTTATTTCAATTTTTGTTGTAATTTTATAGAAACTCTAAAACCCTATTATCCGCACTATTCGAGACAAAAATACCTGTAATGGTAACGAATATTACTAAAAAAAATCTAACATGTTGTTAAAATATTATCATTGAATTTAACTTCGGTTTCATTTATTACTTTTATTCATTAAATTTTCAGAATGATTTAACAGAAAGTTACACGAAAATTTACTTGCTAACGAATTTTGAAACAAGAATATTATATATTTTATAACAATATTATCATATTCACTTGCATACTAATAATTTCAACTTAATTTTTTTCATATTTATAGTTTATTTTATAAGTTTTTTTTTTAGTAATTCTCTAGAAACTCTTTTACTCTTGATACTCTTAATTTTATTTAAATTTTATATAACTTTCACAATAACTACAACACATTTATTCCTCTTAATTTAAGCTTTAATTTATTACTTTATTATAAGTTAAAATACTGAATTTCGGAAATTTTAAATTTTATGAAAATCAGCCCAAATTCCACCGACAGGCACTCTAATAACACCGTTCTTTTCCAACTGCAAAGGAACCATTGTCTTTTCGTTCAAAGTAATCGTGAACTTCGAAAATATCGCTACCAATACCATTTTTATTTGCAACAAACCGAAACGCATACCTATGCAAGCGCGCGGTCCTTCTCCGAAAGGAAAGAAAGTGCACTTCCTCACATTACTTTTATTGGATTTGGAAAAACGTTCCGGTTTAAACTGATGCGGATTATCAAAATATCGCTCATCCATTTGTATAGAATCTACAGGTAACATCACGTCCATCCCTTTAGTAATCCGCACTTCAGATCCACCTTCTTTGGGCGGTGGAAAAACGTAATCTTTCGTGCATTTCCTCGTTAAGAATAGAACAGCTGGATGCATCCTCATGCTTTCTGCAACTCAAAATATTTAACATTTCAATGATGATAATTTAATTCAAGAAAAACCGTAAATAACGCATTCCAAATATTCCATCGAATTGATTGTATCATAAGTGATTTCTCCTTTTAAATCCATGATTTCCTGCTGAAGTTTTTGTTGAGCTGCAGGATTTTGCGCTAAATCGTGCAGGATGAAACTGGCGACGACAGAACTAGACTCAACTCCGTCGCCGAAGAAGCCTGCAGCTTGTGCGACAATATCTATATCTTCCATTTTATACTCTGAACTTTTATCTTTCTGCTCCGCCAAATTGTGTAAAAAATCGTTTCTCACTACATTGTTTTTTCTTCTATACTCTAAAGTTTGTTCTACAATTTTTATTAGATAATTCTCGGCGTGTTTCGTGAAAAATCTAAAAATGAAGATTATTTAAAAAGAAAACTACAGTTGTTACTAGTTAATTATTAGATTACCTAACACTAGTGAACTTTGCTAATTGCGGAAATATACTGATCAAAGTCATTTTGATCATGCTGAATCCGGAAACGTCTCCTATCTCTGAAGCTATTTTCACGAATTCGCTTTCCTCTTCAGAGAAAGAATTCGCTTCTAAACCGAAAGCGCAGCTGGCGACGACGCCAATGTTATACCTCTTCAGCAAATCTTTAACGTCGATGCAACTCGCATGATCTTCCATGTAATTCAGCAATTTTTCGCTTTGATCCTTCACGAAAGGAAACATTTGCTTTATCTGTTAATTAAATGAAAAGTAAATGAATAATTTCTAAATTTTCATTTCAAATTGAAGAAAGTGACCTTTCCGCTAGTAAAATTCGGTGTCCATTGGGCTCGAACTGTCTTCCACTTTTCGCCAGATAAAGCGAAAGGATTCCTTCCCATGATCGGATCGTTGCTCACGTCAGCTTCGAAATTGTTCTTCTCGAAATGATGGAAATCCTTGATGACTACATCGTTAATTAGATCGGGATCTCTGATGACCAAAGCCGGATGAAGGAAAGTGTACACTCCGACATATCTGAATCCTTCATATTTCCTACATCAAATCAATCACATTTTTTTAATAAAAAATGATGTAAATATGATAATAAAGAAACTTGCTTGTAAATCTCATTGTAGATTTCACCGATGTGCTGTTTGGAAGTCAAAGAAGGACCTAAATTTCCCACAAACAAAGTCGGTTCTTCGTAAGGAACTCCGCGATCTTTCCAATGATTGTATCGTTTTTTCAAATAAACGTACAAAACGCAGAGGAACGTTGCGACAAGTATTATCATCCACATGTTGCAATGAAACTGCTCGAAATTCGTAGATTGAAGTGTGCGTTCAAGTTATAACTGATAATAACAACTGAGATAATCTCTGTTTACCAATTAGGTAATCTATTAGATAATGTTCGATTGTTGGGTTTATTAATAAAGTTATTTTTTCAGCTTTAATTTAATGAAATCATATTTCATTTTTTTTGCATTTCAAATGATTTGTAAAAGATAAGTGTTACAATAATACTACAAAATATAGTTTTTTCTTTGTAGTTTTAGCTTTAATTTGATTATTAATTTACTGCTATATCATTTGTGGTTTTCGAGAAATAGAAAATATATAAAGATGCTTTTTTTTTTAAATTAAAAATTACAAGATTTTGTAAAATTAGCAAAAAAATTCTTTGTTTCTCTTTATTATTTTTTCTCATTTTTTGTTTATATATCAAAATATTACTAAATTAATTGTAGTTAATAAAAAATACTGCAAATTTTATTGAAAATATTGCAAACTTTATTGAAATTTACATGATTTTCTTGCATTTTTTGTTGATAAGTAGGAATCGTCCCAATCTTACGCAACGTATTTTGCAAGAAACGTTACGTAATGTTTATTACGTGACCGAGAATCGATGATTTTCGATGTCTTCAGTTTTTAGTGAATAACTCGAGAACCGCTGAAGATAATTCCATCATCTTATACTCGTTTTAAAGCTGAAAGTATAACCAGCGAGCTCGTTGACATCTGTCATCAATTAGTCTGCTACGAACTGTCAAAAGTTTGACATACAATCGCAATCAGTTAACACAACGAATCAATCAGTTTTTTTAAATTAATTTCTTGAAATTTACGTGATTTTCTTGCATTTTTTGTTGATAAGTAGGAATGGCACCAATCTTACGCAACGTATTTTGCAAGAAAAGTTACGTAATGGTTATTACGTGACCGAGAATCGATGATTTTCGATGTCTTCAGTTTTTAGTGAATAACTCGAGAACCGCTGAAGATAATTCCATCATCTTATACTCGTTTTAAAGCTGAAAGTATAACCAGCGAGCTCGTTGACATCTGTCATCAATTAGTCTGCTACGAACTGTCAAAAGTTTGACATACAATCGCAATTTCGTCCAATTGCCAATTGGATTTTGTAAGAATCGCAGTTTCATAGGAAAAAAAAACGATTTTCGTTAATAACTCAAAAACTAATGAATATTTTTTGTGATTTTATTGCATTGAAGCTAGTTTGGAAAATGATGTTGCATCTTGCATATAGCCCTGACCTTGTACCATCAGATCAACATTTATTTCGAAATTTGAATGGTAAAACTTTCAGTAATCATGATGATCTGAAATCGAACTTCAGTTCAGTTTTTTGTTGATAAAAACCAGAAAATTTATGAGCCCGGAATCATGAAGTTGCAAAAAATATAAAAAAAGGTCATCGGAGAAAATGAGAAATAAATAATTGTTAAAAGTTCACTCTTTGTATACAAAAAAAGTAATCTTATTTCAATGCTAAACAATGAAATAAATATTAACTAATTTCTGTAAATTCTAGTCTTATTCAATTTATATATTAATTTTTCATTGTTTTTGAGAAAAAGAAACTTGATTTTTCTTCTTCAAATTTGATTTTAAAGAAAAATTAAAAAAATTAAACAAGACTTTTAAAATTTCATTATTTATTATAAAAAAATTCAACTTAATCAACTTTCATAATAATATCAACAATTACATTAGATCCATTTATTACCAATAGTTTTAAGCTATAAATTGTACATTAATAATGATTTTGTTGTTGTTATTATTAATTTCATTTAGATTTTTAAATTTTATGAAAATCCAACCAAATTCCACAGACCGGCACTCTGAGAACACCGTTCTTCTCGAACCTCAAAGGAATGATCGTCTTCTCGTTCAGAGTGATCGTGTATTTCGAAAATATCGCGACTAATGCAGTTTTTATTTGCAACAAAGCGAAACGCATTCCTATGCAAATGCGCGGTCCATCTCCAAACGGAAAGAAAGTGCTTTTCCTCACATTACTTTTGTTGGATCTGTAAAAACGTTCCGGTCTAAACTGATGCGGATTATCAAAATATTGCTCATCCATATATATCGAGTCTATAGGTATCATCACGTTCATCCCTTTAGTAATCCTACATTTCCTACATTTTTTTAATAAAAAATGATGTAAATATGATAACAAAGAAACTTGCTTGTAAATCGCATTGTAGATTTCACCGATGTGCCGTTTGGAGATCAAAGAAGAACCTAAATTTCCCACAAGCAAAGTCGGTTCTTCGTAAGGAACTCCACGATCCTTCCAATGATTGTAACGTTTTTTTAAATAAACGTATAAAACGCATAGAAGCGTTGCAAGTATTGTTAATATCATATTTGGAATGAGACTGTTGAACAATTTGGAACGAATCAAAGTGTTTTGCTGTAATTAATCTTAAAACAAATACATGCCAAATCACTGTTTACTAATGCACTAATCTAATTGCTAATTGCATTTAATGATGAAACGCTAATTATAAGTTCAATGAAACAAATTATCGCAATTTTTGTTGTGTTTTTTCAATCAAGACGAATCTCATTATACTAATCTTCTTGAATGTGTTGTAAGAGTTTTCTTGTTTCGAGAAGGTTGACTTACACTTAAGAATTAAAAATAAATTAGAATGCAGATGGCTTTAAAATGAATTGAAGTTAACAATGGAAGGTATGGAAGTTAATTGATTGATATTTGTCATTCATTTCTGCTCAGATTTTTTAAAACAACATAGATTTAAATGAAATAAATATCAATAATCTCATTGTAGTCACTTCACTTATTTTCACTTTTATATATTAAGGACTTCTGCATTCAAGTTTGGAATGAAACTGAAGGAAAAGTGCAAGTGTTACGCGTTCAATTTGAACTTGGCAACTTGGCGATAATTGTTGTTTACTAAAAACATAGCAATCAATTTGTTGAAAATTTATTGATGAAGCGTAATTGCAAGTTCAATTAAACAAAGTTAAAATCTCAGTTGTTGTTTTTCTTAAAGTCGAGCCAAATCCCACCGAGCGGTGCCAGAATTATACCGTTCTTCTTGAACTGTAGAGGAGTGATGGTTTTCTCGTTCAAAGATATCGTGTATTTGGAGAAGATCGCCACCAAACCGACTTTGATTTGCAGCAAAGCGAATCTCATGCCTAGAATTGTAAATCAATTTAGTATGTAGATGGTTTTTTTTTAGATGGAATTCAGTTTACCTAAACACATGCGCGGACCATCTCCGAAAGGCATGAACGTGGATTTCTTGATATTAGCTTTGTTCTCGTTAGAGAATCGCTCTGGATTGAAGACTTGAGGATCGGGGAAGTATTGCTCGTCCATTTGTATCGCACCCATTGGTATCACGAAGGTCATACCTTTTGTAATGCGTACGGAACCCGCGCCTTCTTTTGCTGGTGGTAAATCGTAATCTTCGGTGCATCTCCGCCCGAAGAACGAGAAGGCCACGTGCATCCTCATACTCTCTACAATTCAATTGAAAATTATAAATAAACTACAAGATTTTCTAGATTACCATTTATAATCCAATCGAGATATTCGAAAGCGTTGATTGATTCATAACTGAAATCTCCTTCAAGCTGTTGTATCTTCTCTTGCAGCTTCCTCTGAATCTCAGGGTTAGTGGCGATTTCGTATAAAATGAAAGTCATCACCAAAGAACTGGATTCGACACCGTCCGCGAAGAATCCAGCGGATTGTGCAACAATATCGATGTCTTCGAATTTGTACGCAGTGCATTTCACCTTCAATTCAGCCATACTATCTAAGAAATCGTTACGAACCACGTTGTTCTCTCTCCTGTACTTCAAAGTCTCCTTCACGATGTTCATAAAATACTTTTCAGCGTTCTTCGTTAAAAACCTGAAAAGTTTAGTTTAAATCAAGTTTAAAATTTAAGTTTATTAACGATGTACCGAATGCTCGTGACGTTGGACAATATCGGGAAGATGGTGAGAATAATCGATTTGACCATGCTGAAGCCGGAGACGTCACCGGTTTCTCGTGAGATCTTCACGAACTCGCTATCCTCTTCATCGAAACTGCGCGCGTCCAAGCCAAAAGCGCAGCTGGCCACGTTTCCCAAAGTGAATCTCTTCAGGAAATCCCTGGCCTCGACGCAATCAAGGTGATCGTCCAAATACGTTTTCAGTTTCTCGCCTTGATCCATCAGAAAAGGAAATATTTGCTTCGTCTGAAATTGCAGCAATCTGAAGATTCGATAATTTACCTACTTTTCATTTATAATTTACCTTTCCCACAGTAAAATTGGGAGTCCATTGACCTCTAGCAACTTTCCACCTTTCTCCAGACAAAACGAACGGATTCCTTCCCAAAATCGGGTCGACTTTAACGTTCACCTCGAAATTGGTTTTACCGAAATGATGGAAATCCTTCACCATAATATCTTTGATCAGTTCAGGATCTCTCACCAAAATAGCTGGATGCATGAAATTGTATAAACCGACGTACCTAAACCCTTCGTATTTCCTGCAAAGAAAACAACAACAATTTAAATTTAGTTAATTAAGTTCCAAAAACTGACTTGTAAATATCATTGTAGATCTCTCCGATGTGCTTGTTCGTGGTCAAAGTTGGAGCTAAATTTCCTATTAACAATGTCGGTTCTTCGTGCGGGACTCCTCGTTCCTTCCAATAGTTGTATTTTTTCTTTAAAAGAACGTAGAAAATGCCGAGGAGAGTGGCAAAAGAAACTAATGAGATCCACATGTCGATGAGATTGGAACGCAACTGCGAACTTTACTATAAATTGTGATTATATTGGTTCAAGTCCTGCTGATAACACGTAAATGTAAATAATAACAGTACTCTTGAGTTTACTGCTGAAAGCTATCATTTCAAGATTAGTGTGTTATGTTTTTTTTTTAATCAAATTTTAACTGTTTTTTTATGTTAAATATCAATTTTTAATCGAAATTGTTATCTTTCCAAATTTCTTGATTCAAACTAAATTTTTACATAATGTGATAATTAAATAAGTTTTGCGCATCGTTACGAAATCAATGATAATATGAGTAATTATTTTCAACATTTCACAGAAACAATTCTTTATTATTAATATGAATAGTGCATTTTTATTTTATAAACAATTTCTTATACAAATAATAAAAGGTACTTAAAAAAAACATAAAAATTCCACTAAAACTCAATTAATTATTACATTTTTTTTTTTCAATTAATTCTAATTATTTAATCTTTCTGAAAATCCATCCAAATTCCACCGATCGGAGTCCTCAGGACGGTATTTTTTTCCAACACAAGCGGATTCGACGTCTTTTCGTTGATCGAAACAGTGTATTTGGATAGAATTGCAGCGATGCCGACTTTGATTTGCATCAAACCGAATTTCATGCCTGTAAACGAAAGAAGTTAAAACTTTTATTTTATTTAAACAAAAATGTAAAAATTATTCACCTAAGCAAATCCTGGGTCCATCTCCGAACGGCATGAAAGAGCATTTAGTGATGTTAGCTTTGTTCTCGTTCGTGAATCGTTCAGGATCGAAAATTTCAGGATTCGGAAAGTACTTTGCGTCCTTGTGTATTGCGTCCATCGGCAGGATTATGCTCGTATCTTTCTGAATCATAATGCTTGGAGCACCGTCTTTAGTTGGTGGTAAACGGTAATCTTTGGTGCACTTTTTGGTAAGGAAAAATCCAACCCAATGCATCCTCATGCTTTCTGAAATTACAAATTAACCACGAATTTGTTTACAACGATGTTTAAATTACCGTTTAAAACGCAATCCAAATATTTCATCTCATTAACGGATTCGTAGCTTATTTCCCCATGATCGCGGATCTCCTGCGTCAATTTACTCTGCACCTCAGGATTTTTGGCGATTTCGTACAAAGCGAAACTCATGGCAACAGAGCTGGATTCTACGCCGTCTCCGAAGAATCCCGCGGATTGAGCAACAATATCGATGTCTTCGAATTTATAGTCAGTGCATTTGACCTTTTGCTCGGCCATAGTATCCAAAAAATCGTTCCTAACAACTTTGTTCTCTTTCCTGTAATTCAAAGTCTCCTTCACGATTCTAATCAGATACTCTTCCGCGTACTTCGAGAAGAACCTGAAAAATCATCAATTAAAATATCAATTCAAAAATTTTAGTTGAGTCAACGACCTAACAGTTAACACGTTCATCAGTACAGGAAAGATGTTTCTTAAGAGAACCTTGATCTCGACGAAACTCGAAATATCCCCGATCTGTCGCGAGACTTTCACGAATTCTGATTCCTCCTCCTCAAAACTGTTAGCTTCGAGACCGAAAGCGCAACTGGCCACGTTACCAATCGTGAACCTCTTCATCAAATCTTTCAAATCGACGCATTTCTGATGATTTTCTATGTAATCGTTCATAATTCCACTTTGGATTTTCACGAATTGGAAGATCTGCTTCAACTGGTTTTCACCAAAAAAAACTATTATCAACTAATTCGAATTTTTTCTACACAACACAAACCTTTCCGCTGGTAAAGTTAGGCGTCCACATGTTCCTGAAAGCTTTCCACTTCTCGCCTGACAAAACGAACGGATTTCTTCCCATGATCGGATCGTGATTTACATCCACCTCGAAATCGTTTTTCCCGAAATGATTGAAATCTTTGATCATAATATCCTTGATGATTTCGGGATCTCTGATTAACAAAGCGGGATTAATGAACAGAAACAATCCCACGTATTTACAATCTTCATATTTTCTGAAAAAAGAAAATGTTTACTAAATATACTTTTTGTAAATTATAATTATACTAACTTGTAGATGTTATTGTAGATTTCTCCGACGTTCAATTTGGATGTCAAAGAAGCACCTATATTACCGACAAATAAACTTGGTTGTGGACACGGGACTCCTCGTTCCCTCCAATAATTGTTTCGCCATTTCAATAACACGTACAGAATGCAGAGAAGACCTGCAGCTGAAGACAAAAATATCCACATTTTCAATGAAACTCTAGCGTCCTACTGATTTTCACGAACTCCAATCTATCAATGTTTGAATTTTTATAATAAGGTCAATGCGAATATATCGTATGGAGCGATAATTTTTATCTCACGTTTTTATCTGCTGTTCACTTCATAGATAATTATATAACTTTTATTTACATACTTAAATTTTCTAGTGCTGATAAATCAAAATCATGATTCGCACTTTTAAAGTACAATGTGTTCATGTAAATTAGGTTTTCGAATATAATTAGTTCTTAAAATGTGTTCGAAAACCGAAATATTTTTTTTCAGGTTTAATTATTCCAAAAACAAAGAGATGAAAACTGTCAAAATTGATGCAATTTCTCACAAAAATTCCAATTTTTGTCATTTTAAACAGTCTTAATTATATCAAAAACAAAACAATAATATAAACTGTCAAAATTGATATAATTTCTGAGAAAATTCAAATATATGTCACTTTTAATAGTAATAAATTTATCATAAGCAAAACAAAAATGAAAACTGTCAAAATTGATAGAATTTCTGACAAAAGCAAAACAAAAATTACAACTGTCAAAATTGACATAATTTCTCAGAAACTTCAAATCTACGTCATTTTCAATAGTAATAAACATATCAAAAACAAAACAAAAAATTCCAATTTATGTCATTTTTAACAGTCTTAATTATACCAAAAACAAAACAATAATAGAAAATGTCAAAATTGAAAGAATTTATCAAAAAATTCAAATGTACGTCACTTTTAATAGTAATAAACATATCAGAAACAAAACAAAAAAGAAAACTGTCAAAATTGATAGAATTTCTCAGAAAAATCAAATGTACGACACTTTTAATTGTAATAAACATATCAGAAACAAAACAAAATTGAAACCTGTCAAAACTGTAACTTTTTTTTTGGAAAATTCCAATTTATATTACTTTTAATAGTAATAAACATATCAGAAACAAAACAAAAATGGAAACTGTCAAAATTGATATAATTTCTCTGAAAATTCCAATTTATGTCATTTTTAACAGTCTTAATTTTACCAAAAACAAAACAATAATAGAAACTGTCAAAATTGATAGAATTTCACAGAATATTCAAATGTACGTCATTTTAAACAGTCTTAATTATACCAAAAACAAAACAAATATAGAAACTGTCAAAATTGATAGAATTTCTAGAAAATTCAAATGTACGTCATTTTTAAACAGTCTTAATTATATAATTAGTTCTTAAAAAAAACAAAACAAATATAGAAACTGTCAAAATTGATATAATTTCTCACAAAAATTCCAATTTATGTCATTTTATATACCAAAAACAAAACAATAATAGAAACTGTCAAAATTGATAGAATTTCTTAGAAAATTCAAATGTACGTCATTTTTAAACAGTCTTAATTATACCAAAAACAAAACAAATATAGAAACTGTCAAAATTGATATAATTTCTCACAAAAATTCCAATTTATGTCATTTTATATACCAAAAACAAAACAATAATAGAAACTGTCAAAATTGATAGAATTTCTAGAAAATTCAAATGTACGTCATTTTTAAACAGTCTTAATTATACCAAAAACAAAACAAATATAGAAACTGTCAAAATTGATATAATTTCTCACAAAAATTCCAATTTATGTCATTTTATATACCAAAAACAAAACAATAATAGAAACTGTCAAAATTGATAGAATTTCTCAGAAAATTCCAATTTCTTTAACTTATTTGAAAATTATTTTACAAACTAGAATCGACTCGATATAAATACTTGATTCGTTCGTGTACGATATTTGCATATCAATCGGATGCTGCCTGCATCCATGGTAACTCTTCAATTCAAACAAACGATCACAGTGTGTGTGAATGTGTTCGAGAGAGAAAGAGGAAACTGCATTTTAGATGTAGAGCGAATCAACATGAATCTCTTTTTGATGATATGTAGATGTATTAATATCTCGCTCGTTTTAGAAACGGACGAGGAGAATCTCTAATATATTTCTCGCTGTGTGTGTGTGTGTGTGTGTGTCTATCTGCACGGCTTTCCATCTCTTTCTGTGTGCTGCTGTTTGCAGGCTCCGTTTCGTAATTAAAAAATAATAATCGCGAAGGATAAAAGGAGATTGTCGTTGCGTAATGATTCCTGGCCCGGCATGCATGCAGGATGCAACGAACGAACGTACGGCCCAACGGGAGACGTCGCCGTCGGCGTCGCGACGCGATCGCCACGATCGAATCGAGCCGCTGGAATTTTGATTTAAAAGCTCCCCGGTTTTACGTTTTTTTTTTGCTTCTTCCCTCTTATTTGTTTTTGATCCGAATGGTTCGCTAGTAATTGCAATATTTTAATGAGGAAAGTGCATTCGTGCGGGTTTTCTCCCCATCTCCTTCTATAACTCTTCATTTCAGTTGTTGCTCTCTCAATCTCTCTCTCTCTTTTCTAGTCTTAAACGATGCACCGATTGCTGCTTGCATCGGAGTCTCCTGCATGCACGTAGGAGGAAGAGTTGAACGAGGAGGAGGATCCATTATAAACTCGACGCTCGGACAAAATGGAAACCACCACCGACGTTTTGTTGGTTGGTTGATTGTTGTTGGTTGTGTTGTATCGCTCTCTCCTCTCCTGCAACCCCATCGCAGACCATTGTCTTATGCACTCCACTTTGCAACTCATTACCTCGAACCACTTAAATACCTCAAGACTACCAACTAAATGCACCTTCTAAGTCTCGAGAGGTTGACATAATACCGCACTTTAGACACGTTCAACCAGATTACTTTCATTACACCTCGACAATACATAATTGCGCACCATTTCATCACATTCACAGTACCATAATCATCGTAAATCTTTACAAAACATCCTAAATTTCATGATTTATAATCATATTTAACTTCAATATTTAGAAAAATTAATAAACGTATTCATTTTATTTGTTCGTTTACTAATTTTCACTGAATTATTTGCAAAACATGAGGAAACATTTCTCACAATTTTCGTAAAAGTAATGTATTCACTTTTTCTAAAATTTCCTGATAAATACTTAAACGATTTTGGATAACAAAAAGAAAAACAATTTTATTTTAATATATTTAATTTTCATCCTTTTGTAATTTCTCAACATAATTTCCATTTGTTTTAATACATTTCTTAAGTCAGTTTCAAAACATTCCTCAAAATCGGCTTTTTTGAGCTTTTTCAAGTTTGACATTAACTGCATTAATGATCTTCTCATTCGAACTGAAGACTCTTTCCCTCAATTTATTTGTATTTTCGGAAACAGCCAGAAATCACACGGCAAAAGGTCCGGAGAGTAAGATGCTGGGGCGAATTTCATTGATTCCAGAGAGCGCAAGAAAGATGGTCTTGGTGAAAAAGTAGCGACGAAGTTGCCTTTTTTTTCTGGTTTCCCAAGATATTTTTGAAAACTTGTGGTAAGCAAGTTTCTGTATACCACTTAGCAGTTACCGTCTGGCCAGTTTCCAGTGAGATAACAGCTACCACTTTTGCCCTGGTAAAGAAAATTGACACCATCACTTTTGTTGCTGATTTTTGTGTTCTTGACTTAACTTAGCACCTTCTGCGCTTCATACCATGGACTGCTCTTTGGTTTTCCGGATTTTACTTATAGAACCAAGATTCTTCACCTGTTACTATTTACCTAAAGGTAATAGACTCTCCATTTTCAAATTTTTCCAAGAAATATTGGGCAAAACGAACAAGTGCCTTTTTTCGGTCGTCATTTAAAATTCGTGGAACAAATCATGCGGATTTCTTCGTGTAGATGACTTAATATTATCGACATAGCCATAGCATTCAAGATCCAGTTCATCACCTACCATTTCCTTGGATCTTTGCCAATTTTTGCTACATTTGTGTCGTTTGTGAAAGATTTCGTGCCATCATCACGAGATTCGTCCACAACTCAAAAATGTTCGGTTTGGAATCTTCGAAACCACTTGGTAATGGTCATTATGAATGCATTTTGGCTTTTCTAGTAAATTTGCATAGGCTTGAGTTGTCGTCGAAATCCGTAGAGAATGGCAAAAACAATATTTTGCAGTGTTGGTGGTGAAATATCTACCAACATTACATCACTAATCATGCATTTTCTCCTATCCATTCTTACCGATCTTTTTGAAATTTGACATGAAATATAGTTAGACTTTAACTAATTAAGAAACAACTTTTGTTTTTCACAAACAAATGTATTAACGCCAACTAAGCGAACTTTTGTTAGACCACAAATTAAACTTGAATATATGTAATAGACATATCCAATTTGTGCGTTTACTAATTTTTAGTAAAATGTTTGCAAAATTTACTCACAATTTTTGGAAAATGTAATGTCTCCAGTTTTCCTAACATTTCTCGATTACTACAAAACCAATTTTAGAAAATTAATGCTCAAATTAATCTTGATTATATAGAGAATATAATAGGCGTATTAATTTATCAATTTTCAGTAAAATTATTGGATAAAATAAAGAACGAATCACAAAATAATCTTCAGTTTTTTTTAATGTTTTTCGATTAATACTATACAATTATATTGAATGTTCTGCTTTATTATATGATTCACGTTATTTTTTTTAACTACAACTGAAGAATCTTGATAAAGATGTACTAAAAACATAATGAATTAATGGAGAAACGCGCCATTGCTTATTTAGAATTTATCAAAGGGTGCGTTGCTAAAAACGAATTACCACCACCATAACCAACCCCCCAAAAAAAAAACACTAAAAAGAGGGGGGTCGTCAATCGAAATGAGAAAGAGGTGGCACACACCCAATTGCACGTCGCAAAATTGAAAAAAAGAAAACCCCCATCGCACATTCGATAATTGCGTAATCAGAAAGTAAATGAATTTGCAGATGAAGAATTCGAGCAATTACCATTTCGAATATAATAATGATGATGATGATGATGATGATAATAAGACTTGGAGAGGGCGGGTTGAAACGATGGGGGTGCTGTGAATGAAAAGATGAATGAAGAGGGTGACGACGACGACGACGATGTCTCT